CCTTCTTGTAGTGAGGGGCCCAAAACTGAACACAGGATTCGAGGTGCGGCCTCACCAGTGCCGAGTACAGGGGCACGATCACCTCCCTCCTCCTGCTGGCCACACTATTTCTGATACAGGCCAGGATGCCATTGGCCTTCTTGGCAAATGTACCTTTGCAAATTCTCACTTCTGTGGGATGTACCTTTACCCCAGGTGAAATGAATAAGTAGTTTTCCCTGTAAATTGGTAATGCAGATTCTTAATGTGGTAATGAAACAAGACATGTAGATTTAATAAAGGCATATGCTATTTACAAAAATTCAGCTCTCTAAAACGAGCAGAAAACCCCACAAGAGAGTCTATGAAAATAACAAACTTCCCAACCCCTCCTACTCTATTTAATTTTACCATTCTTATAAACCAGATGCTTACTGCTTGCATTTTCCATAGCACTAGATATTCAGTTAGTATGCTGTCTCTGTACTTTCTCCTTGGCCAAATGTTTTTAGAACATCATCATATTTCAAGTCAATTATAAATTACGAGCTGAATAAAAACAAAAGAAAAAAAGACTTAAGTGCCATGAAAGGGTTGTTGTGTATCCTCAGAAGTCACTGTTTTTCTAGATTTTCCTAAAAATAGTGATACTGAAAATTATGACCACAAGTGCTAGTAGGCAGCGGTGTTGCATAAAGACCCTGACTTACTGATGATTTGTGTTTTGTGTTATGTATGTGTGTGTAAAATAGTGAATGATTTAGAAGATAAGCTGCTTCAAAGTGAGACTTGCCACAGGGAAGCCTTACAGAAAATAGTAGAACTAGAATCTGCATTACAGAATGCCCATGGAGAATTAAAAATCACTTTAACACAGCTTCAGGAATTGCAAGATGCATTACAGAATGCACAGTCCTCTCTGGAGGAGAAGCATGTTGCTATCATGGATCTAACAACTGAGCTTAGGTAAGCTGGTATCTTTTCCATCACGAAAACTTAGTTGTGTTAGTTTTTCCTTAGCAACAGCAAGTAGTTTCGATGGTCTTTTTTTATCTTCTTAGCAGCTCTCTATAATTTTTAGGTGGTTTGTGGCTGTAAGATAACTTGATACAGTAGCTCCTCAGCTCACTTTTAATTCTAAAAGTGGTGCTGAGTTCTTTTTTGGGAATTCTGTTTTAAAATCTCCTAAAATTATTTTCTGAATCCCAAAGTTTTTAAATAATTATAAGAGGAGTTACTTTCTTTTATAGTGAAACTGTACAGTTTCCTTTCTGACCATAAATTAACGATACTTTCTTCTGTACTATTCTTTAAGAACATGTTGTCCTGATAACCAATTAAGTAACTTGAATAATGAAGTTATTGGGAAATTTCCACCTGGAATATAGTTAACAGAATTATTCCATTTGGGTTTGTTTCTTTGCAACCAATTAGTTGATCCATGTTTTTTAAGTATGTAATAGATCTCATGATTTTCAAGCTGAATACTTGAAGCTAAGCAACGGAATGTGCATTAAGCAATTGAATATTTGAGAATTTCAGGTATTGCAAGGGAGAAATTGAAGACAAAAACCAAGAGCTGCTTGACATGGACCAAGCATTGAAAGAAAGGAATTGGGAACTGAAACAAAGAGCAGCTCAGGTCAGATCACTTTAAGTATGTTAATGACAATTATCCTGTTATGTAGTAGATAAGTTATAAAAAGTCCACTAGGTTTAATTACCTTCACATGTCGTTCCAAACTGTACTGTTAATATAGCCACAGTATCAACCTCAAAACCAGCTGTATGTTACTGAAGCCTTATGGTACCAGGAAAATCAGGTTGTGTTCCTCTAAGGGACGACAGACTACTGTTTTGATAGAATGGAAGCCTCGTGCAAACCTGTCCCGTAATACTTCCTTAGTGATAAAGTTATAGAACAACTGTTGTCGTCTTGATGTTTGATAAAACAAAGGAAAGATCTGCACTGAAGTGTGCTTGGAGATGATAGATTCCTTTGTTTGTTTTCACTGGAGCATATCTGATTAGCTCTAAAGCAGCCTCTGAATATGAAACAGTATCTTTGTGGTTGAATACGTTTCTGTAGCTCACTTGAAATATTTTCAGTCTTTTGGTCTGGCTTCAGGATTTGATACCCATCATGGAAAAACTATTCTTCTGTCACTTATAATTAGCATTCTAATAGCTACTTCCTGACTTCCTGCAGGAGTTACCAGCCTTTGCATCCAAGAATATTTGAAGTGCAGAGAGAAGGAGGGGTGGGGATGTAAAAAAAAAAAAAAAAAAAAAAAAAAAAAATCCGTTCAAGGAACTGACACTGTAAGGAGGCCAGACCTTCCAATATATTGTTGCCGCAGTACCCTGTGAGCTGTGCCGGGAATTCATCAAAGCAATAGGATTTTTTTTTGCTTTGGCAAAATTTGGTACGTTCTTATAAGATGCATTAGTATACTAAGCTACTCATTACATACAGTTATGGACTTTCTCCCAATTTTCCCCTTTTCTCTTTGTGTTTGGCTCCAGTTTTTTAAACGAGATAGCCAGGGTGCATTTTTATATTGACTGCTTGAGAGAATATTCTTGAGACTACAAAGGATTAGTTTCATTCCTTTTGCTGTCATATTTTGTAATGTTACTTCTTAAAGTCTGCATACTAATTCAAAATAAAATATTCCCTTTTCTTCCTTTTTTACCTCTAGATTACACAGTTGGATATGACAGTTCGTGAACATAGGGGAGAAATGGAACAAGAAATAATTCGATTAGAGTGCAATTTAGAGAAGTCAGAGTTAGAAATTAAGGAATGCAATAAACAGGTAATTCTTGCTTAAATTAAAAACCCAGTTTCCCTAACAAAGGGCAGCTAATTCTATGAGAAGGTCTGGTCCTAGGACACAATAGCTGGCCAGGTTTAATCTAGAAGAGTAAAACTGTTTCCTTATTCTAGGGAGAGGGAAGGGAGTACCTTAATAATGTACCAGCAAAAATATTTTATGTTTGTCAATTAGAATTAAAAATTTTGCAGAGAAATACCATAATAAAGGAAAATGTTGACAAAATAAAATAAAAAATTGACAAGGGAATCCAAAGTCAGAGGTAATACTGACAGTATTTGTGAGTTTTGTTTGGGGTGCTGTGGTTTGGTTTTTTGTTTTTTGTTTTTTGTTTTTTTAAATTGTCCTGATTTCAGTAAAATATCTGTTCTGATTTAATTGCATTTTCTGTTCAGATTGAGAGCTTAGAGAAGAAACTCCAGCATTCTAAAGATGAACTTCGTGCAAAAGAGTTTGATTTGCTCCAGAGAGATCAAGAAATAAATCACCTGAAGAAAAAAATTGAAAGAAAACAACAAGAGCCTAGAAGCTCTTGAAAAGGTAAAATGTTCCTTGGATACACAACAAATTAACAATTTTTAATGCCATTACTGTAACTGCCTAGAAGGAACAATACGGTGTCTCTTTAAAGTAAGAGTCATTACTTCTCCCCAAGTAATTGTATTGTGTATCCTGGTGTTTGCTGAATCTTAATCCCCTAAAGTTAAACCAGTTTATTAAAAATTACAAATTTAATGGCACACTCTTAATTATCTGCTCTGTGGAGAAATTTGGATATTGATTGTCTTTGACCTGATGTTCTGGCTATGGTCATAGTCTTTCTTGAAATGAAGTGGAACAATATGCTCTATGATGAGAGCTTCTTATGACTTAGGTATCTGTCTTGTGAAAATAGTTGCATCAAAAGAGCACTGAGATCTAGCATGTTTATAGGAACGCGAAGAGAGAAATTTTTGGGATAGTAAATGGGAGCATATAGATAGAATAGAGAAGATAGCTAATTTTACTTTATGAATGATACAAATCTTTGGTTTGGGGCATGAATCAGCCACTACAAGTACAAATGCAATCTGAGATAAACAGGCTTTCTGCAGAAATAAGTCCATTAAAAGATGCTCGCCAGCTAGAGGTAAACACCGAAACTGAAATGGCTCCTGCCATTTTGATTATGCTGCATTTGTGTGTTATTTCTTTCCCTCGG